ACGGCAGCTATGAAATGAAAGTGTGTTACGCAGAACGACTACTGAGTATTTTCACTACTCCAAAACAGTTTGGAATCCATAGTTTCGAGGGAGATGTACCTACACTAGCATCATAGTTAGATTACATTCATGGACGCACGCTTACGTAAGTTAGCCAAAGGGGGAAGTATACCAGGCAGAAACTCACCACGACGTCGGAAACGGAACCGATTCAGAATGAGACCTCCAACGAGGATACCAAAGGCACCAGCTGGAACAATGAGTCCCCCTGTGAAACAGAAGTATAGAGAAAATGAGTAACAAGGACTGTGCGGTAAGAGACCAAATAATTCGACGGAGCATGCGCAAAGCTCAATATCGTCCGTCTGAATAACCCTACTCCTGGTTTTTGTTTCAACCAGGAGGCGGTTGAAAATATGGCGGACGACTTGAAATTTCGGCCATAGAAGAGTCGAGAAGTACCACGCACTCTCGGTGGAGGACCGGGATCTGGACCATAATATTGAGGGACAATACGGTTTGATCTTGTGACGTTTTAGTGAAGACATTTAAAATTTGTGCTCTGGTACAGTGATCAGACTAGAAGAACTGTTCATAGGTGGGTGATCGCATGAATTCAAATCAGCCTAGTCCAACAAAACAGGGACAAAATCCTAACAAGTTGACTGCCAGTCTGCACAGTCTTATTAAGGACTTGGTAACGCGTTGACGTAACGCTCAAGTGGCCACGGGGACAGACAGACATATAGATGAACCTAAACACATGGCGAAAAGTCGATTGCCTTGAAATGACCTGTGATACAAGCACAGTGGCATCGAGTCATCTCATGACGGTGATTCCATGTAGAAAGGTATCTGGAGCGCCCTCGGAGGACGGGGTGAACACGATCAATAGGATTGAAAACTAGCATATTATTGAATACCGGGGCTTCGTTGCTACACAATCTTGTCTAAGTATTTTGCAAAGAGACCTGGTAGAAATAAGAACAAGCATAATGATGACCTAGAAAGCACGAAATTGTCCACCAGTAGGAACTCTCCGGATCTCCCAGCTTTTGGGACTAAAGAATCGGACGAATGTCTGGTCATCAGGAATAAATCATGAGGTTGGTTGGTTAACATATGGTTCCGATAATTGCTCCTCATGTTATACAACCAATGCGGCTGAAACCCTACCCGTCAATTCAAAAGCAATGTTCGCCAGTAGCAGCTCTGTGCATAGTACACCGTCGATACAATTTAACAGTAACGGGATCATTATTATCTTCCTAGAACTGGGCTTCTCTGAAAAGTCGTCGACCAAAGTGAGTCGTAGGTTTGTGAGGCCGTGCTAAGATGAAGGAAGTCCGTTACAGACTGATGTGCAGTGCTATTCTGAAAGTTGTCTATGGGTTTACAGAGAAGTTCTCTTGAATCTCACTCTTTATCAAACCTATGTTGAAAAATGCTCTGGTCTGTGTTTCAGGCGTGGCCTGACTATCATTACACAAACAACGGGAGACTAAAAGCGAGCGGTATTTAGGAGGGCTCGCATACCGAATAAAAATTTAGCAGCACACTTCTGGAAAACGGTTCAAGAACCACAGGCTTGGACGCATGGCGTAGATTGACAATAGACTGGAGAGGGACGACAGATTTAAGAAACAGGGGCCCGAAATTTCGTCATAACCTGATAAGCTGTACAAGTAAGAAGCCAGTATTCGGTTAGCAGAAATGGCCAGCAAACTGATCTTTTACAGCACTCAGATTAATCTTGTTAAATTTCGGAAACCATTTTGAGTGAACTGATGCTAGGAAACCAGACAACCATGACCTCAGCTGTTGCTTTCATATGTTTGTCTTGGTTTTGATTACGGAATCATTCATTAGTTGGCTGTACTCATCATCGGTCCGGCACCAAAACAATCCAATTGATGCAGACACGTATACCACTTAGACTGCGATGGTTATCCCACAGAATTTCATGCAAATTGGCCGAATTTTCGAGGCTCACTTGTGAAGACTGATGAAAACAATTCAATTAGTATTTTGTGGGCTTTGTTTGAAAAAACTGAACAAGCAGACTATACGCGAATTGACCGAATTTTCGAGGTTCACTTGTGAAGACTGATGAAAATTAGCCAAGGAGTAGTCTTTCGTGGTTTTGTTTGAAAAAACTGAACAAGCAGACTATACCTCCTTTCTCCCGGTCAAATCCTTCCCCACTGTTTTCCGCGTCTACTTCGAACTTTTGACCCTCAACGTGCCGAATCAACTGTGACAAACTTTTCCCGCACGCATTTTGACCACTTGCGTTGTAACGCGATTGCAACTGGAATGTACCTGCCTACACGTGTTTATCATATGACCTAATGTATGTCCATCCCTTTTTCTCCCTATTACAGGTACACCCGACCAAACCCATTGACTGAATTGACTGTTTCCATATCATGTTGTTTTATATTCGGTTTCGGTGGTTGAATACACGTGTTTCTGCACCACGGTCGTTCTGCCTTCCTACCTGTACGTCGTGCTTGCTGTGTCTCCGCGTGCCAATGTTTCTGAGTTAACCCTGTGTATTCGTTGCCTTCCAGTGTAATACGTCGGCTCACCCACGCTACAGCGTTGTCACGTGGTGCGCGCACACGTTTATCGGGAATTCGCATTGGGGTGCCGTTCTTGTCGGGATGTATTTGGGCTTGCACCAATTAGATGGAAATCCCCACAATTTGAGGTTTATGCCCTTTTCCTATACACATTTTGTACATACACTAACGCACTTTGTTGATAAATCTCAAAACTTTGCAATTCTTGGCTTGTGATTTGGCGTACCACTCAATTGGGCTTCCAAGAATACGTCACAAATTCTACACGGACATCACATTCCACAGGAGGTAATCGATGATAATTAACGGTGTGCAGTGGAACTGATAGCTTTTGACATCTCTACTCTCGTCAGACGATTCACCTATACTTGCTGTCATGATTGTAGACATGACCACTCATTGTTAGGTCACCTAACTACTCAGTCAACCAAACACGTACTGGTTTCGGATCAGAGCGCTGATCTTCCATTGTGACGGACTATGGAACACTCTTCCCCCTAATAGAAAAACTGATGGAAATTGTGCCCGGATATCCCAGGGAAACTTTGTGGGATAATGACGGAGTTGGGACGGAAAACACATTAGTGCAGTCCCATGACATTGGCACACTTGACTTATTGGGGCGTTTGGGCATTCTATTTCGGAGCATATCGATCTGCCGATCGATTAATTGTGCATAAAAGTTACGGTACCAGAGATTCGCACACATTCGTAAGCAGAAACTGGCGTCAAGGGTACAAATCCCTGATGCTGGTTACTTTAACCTCTCACATATGCCCTAAATCAGTACAAACTGTTGAATAACAACCGTGTGAAGTAGTTGATGACAAAAACTGACCTGGCGATGTACTGGCCAGTGAAAGGTGCGCGTACAAAGTACTTGTTGACTCTTTTCCATTATTCTCATTGTGTAGAACGGGATTTCGCGTTTGGTTCTTTCCTCCTTATGCCCCCATTCCTTCCTATTGTTCCTGACCGCCCTTTGACCTTCGTAGTACGTATCTAATTCAATAGAGCCAGGTGAGCTTCGTCATCCTATGACCACTCTGTCTTGAGTGGGTGTGAGTTTGGTTGAGATGCGCGGTTTCCTACCTACTTTATTTGTATAGGATCCGATTTGGAATTAGCAGAGCTTAACTAGACATCATTCCACGATTTGAAGTTTGTACCACTTTGGCGTTTTATTATTGCGTTTATAAACCTCCAGTTGAATAATTCGATTTTTTGGGTCTTGTGCGTAATTCAACGTAGCCCACCTGATAAAAAGAAACACTCAATAGTAGTGGGGTTCGGTAGATTGGTTTCAAGGAGTCTGGGAAAGTTATTGCAGTATTTTTTCGTGTGGAATGAGACGATTCTGGGGGCCGGATAGCTGAGAACGTAGTGAACGTACATCAATCCGGAGCTAAGCGATTGGACCACAAATTGGCCATTCAGGCCGCAAAATGGAATGAAATAAGATATATGCGGGTACGCAAAATTATCCCTCACCCCAACTTATGCCTGTGCTGGATTGGAGAGATGGGGCTGAACGGGCAGACTGCAAACGTTCCGGTGACTAGGGTAAACACACAAATGATGAGGATGACGGGGCAATAGCAGGTGAAGCAGCGGTCGGAATCAAAGCGCACAATCGAAAAAGCTGAACTAAACTGGTGCTGTCCCATTGTGCTACTTATCAGTGTGTGGGAAAAACCACCTGGGATGACGAATGGCACACATGCCCACGAAATAAGTCTGATCCTGTCGACCATTTCGACTGATCACGTGCAGGCGGCGCTCAGTATTTGCACAATGGAATTGAATTTTCGAGAGTTATGACGTGTCCCTGATGGACTAAAGCAATCGGGCAACTGAATCGAGAGTACCAGTCCAAACTTATAAGCCTCATTTAGGCATCCCGAGGCCTCAGCGATGCTGGGAAATTATCCCACAGAACTTTTCAACCAGAGGCATGGTTGTTCCAGTGAGCAATGAAATGTGGTAAGCTGCAAAAATATGAAGGTAGATTAAGACGGTTTTTGGTTTGAGCACATACACAACAAAATGCAACATTTTGGCGTAGGAAGTTTTACTCCACTCGTAAAGGTTTTGCAGCTGAGAGCATTGTGCGGATAATGGGCACCCGAACTTAAACGGAACGGTAGAAGTGACCTCCAGAACAGCCATTTCCATTGACCGGGAGGCTAAAAGTTAGTCGGCTTCCGAAAACAACAAAGACAATACAAAATGAATTACCAGAAAGCATCAAAAAGTGTATCAGTGCTACCATAATGTTCGTCTGGTTACTCTGGCTTATGACAGTCTGCATGCGTTAATTACACGTATACAGGTCCGTGCATCGTCCTATCACGTGGAGCATCACAGCGAAAAGGCGTTGTTCCAGCATACCAGAAGGCGCTACGCTTAAAACTCAATAAGTGAGAGATAGTTCAGCGATTAACATACGAACTTACTGACCGGAACGTCCGTGGTTCATCGTCCTAGTGGAGCATCACAGCGAAAAGGCGTTGTTCCAGCATACCAGAAGGCGCTACGCTTAAAACTCAATAAGTGAGAGATAGTTAGTTCATTAACATACGAACTTACTGACCGGAACGTCCGTGGTTCGAACCTGAACTCTGCCTCTCGACTTCCCCTGTCTAGGCTTGGGCAACCCGACAGTACCCCCGCCCCCCC